AGAAAGAGACGGCTTAAATGATGGCGAGTGAACCGACAGATTATGAGCCCAGTCGAAAAACAGAGAGACTGACCAAGAGTCAGAAATTGGTTTGAAGCTCAAAGCTGACATACACGGTTGGCCATTTTACAAGCCTCACTGTAGGCAGTCAACACAGCTGACTGGGGTTCCCTCTGAACTAATCGCATCTGCCTGAGAGGGCCCTCTTCTCATCTTTTTTTTTTTTTTTTTTCTTAAATGGAAAGGTCATTTATTTTTTATTTATTTTTCTTTCTTTTTTTTTTTTTTGAGGAAGATTAGCCCTGAGCTAACATCTGCTGCCAATCCTCCTCCTTTTGCTGAGGAAGACTGGCCCTGAGCTAACATCCATGCCCATCTTCCTCTACTTTATACGTGGGATGCCTACTACAGCGTGGCTTGCCAAGTGATGCCATGTCCATACCCGGGATCCGAACCAGCGAACCCCAGGCCGCTGAAGCAGAACATTCGAACTTAACCGCTGCGCCACCAGGCCGGCCCCACCATCTTTATCCCCTAACCTAAACAACCCATTTTCACCACCACAAAACTTTTATCATTTTAGCTGTGAGTTCTATTCAGCAGAATTTTATTTCTGTTTTCCTTTCTCTTTATGAGAATTCCCCACTGGCACTGTAGATTGGTTATATGTTGGGTCCAAATAAAATAAAATAATAATAATAAAAGCAAGCTGGTAATTTCTTTCCAATAGAATATACTGCATATTTCATGAAATAGAAGCCAGAGGAGTTTTGTGATTCCTGAACCAAAACCTTTCCTTATCTGAGGACTAAATGGAAGAAAAGTGCAGAGAGCATCTCAAAGACAAGGAAAGCTGATGGTCTGCTCCCCAACCTAAGGGAAGCGTTCAAGTGATTGACTGACTTGATGTGGTTTTTGTTTGTTTGTCTGTGTTTGTTTTTTAACACAGGTTTGTATCCTGAAACACAGGTCACAGATTGAGTTCAGGCCACACAGCTGGCAGGGCTGGCAGGGCTGGCGGAGCTGAGGTCTGAAGCGGGCAGCCTAGCACCCAAGTTCAGACATCTAACCACTTGTTACACCATGTCTGCTTTTAAGCAGCTCTGCTTCCCACGGCTGGTAAGAGACACTAGCAGGATGGCAGTCTCTGCATAGCTAACTAAGAGTAGACAGATGTGAAGCAAGACTGACTAATACTTGTCACAAAGTTACACGTGTTCAAATGTCTACCATCAGCCCAGTTCCCCGTTGGCAAGAGGGCAACACCCATTTTGTGCTGTTAGCATCTGCAATTGGAAGCAATCTCCAGCAATTCTACTCCATCATTCCCCGTGAAATTTCACAGCCACTCTGGGAGACAGCTGGGATCCCTTCCCCACTCAGAGGTGGCAGAACGCCCTGGTTAGGACCCACCCTAGAACCACAATGCTTGGATTTAAATCCTAGTTCTATACCTTATTTGCTGTGTGGCCTTGGGCCAGTTACCAGCTCTCTCTGTGCCCTGGTTTCCTCATCAATCAAATGGGAATGAGAATACAAGTATCCACTTCCCAGGGTTATTTAAAGATTAAATAAATTAATGCACGCAAAGTGCTTAAAGGGGTACCTGACTCTTAGCAAGTACTCCATAAAGGTTAATTATCCCTATTTTTATTAATAAGAGAGGTGATATGCCAAACACCATCAAGTCAGAAAGTACTTGGATTTGATCCCCGCCTTCCAAATCCCAATGCCATCCTCTCTCCTCAGCAGAATTCCATGACCTCTTACTAAAAGTCACTATTCTCCTGAAATCCGGTTATGCGCCAAAGCACCCAACGAGACATTTTTCTCCATAAAACTGCTCCAAGACTCACAAGGTAGATAATATTGCAAATGATGAAACTGAGAGGTCAAGTGATTTATTCTCAATCACTTAACTCAACCAGCGACCATTCTTTGTCACAGTAAGCCTTAAATAACATTTACAGTTCCTGACAACAGCTTTCAATTTATGCAATTTTTTAAAGTGCCATCTAAAAGACATAAACTGTGATTTTCTTGCTTTGTTAGCTTTATTAGTTTGAGAGAAGGATTAAATCTCAGCAAAAACAGAATGTTTGACTTGAGTGAATTATCAGAATGAAACGCTGCCTCAATCAGATTCTTCATCTGCCTGCAGGGCGCCTCCAGGCATCCGAAATCCACCACACACCATTTTTAAGATGGGTCCTACCAGGTACCACGCCAAACAGCCACCACCGAAGACAAATTACTCTGGAGGGCAAAGGGGAGTGAAGAGCCTGCTCCTCTCTGGCTTTGGGAGAAGTGGAACAATAAGTGATGCGCTCTCTTCCTGCAGCCTCACACAATGCTACGTCTCGCAAATGAAACATACTGCGAAACAGCTTGTGAGATGAGCTTCATCGACAATCAGTAATTTTTATTCAGATTTTATTGTTGAATACAATGAACATGATTAAATGTTTCAGATATGCCTATTCAGACCTTAAGCAAACCACCAAAAAAAAACAACTACTAAAAATCATCTTCTAAATCTGCTTTAGGAAGAGATTTAATTGCCAACTTAACGTGTAGACTGAATTCACACTTAATAGCGGCACTGTTCCCAAAAAGATAGTAACACCACGTTCGCACTTCCCACCTCGGCCTCTTCTCTCATCCCTGCCCATCTTCTCAGCGTTGCCAAATAGTTACAACGTCAGTCTTTCAAATCACTGCATTTTGAACTTCCTAAACCTTTAAGAGGGCCTCTGTGTATGGAAAAGAACAATAGCGCTTCAAAGCCATGTCTGCGAGTTCTTCAATACTCCATTTGAATGCTGGGGTTTCAATCAAGGGCATCAGCAGACAATTTCTGATTGCTTAGAAGTTGACTTCTACACAGCTTTGATTAGGTCGCCCTTCTCAATAGGAAATCAAGAAAATCTTTGATCCCTTTCAGATTCCAGAATTGTCACCAAGCCTTGTCAGAAGAGGAAAGGAAAGAAATAGGGATGGGGATGGGGGTGGGGGGGCTGTGGAGCGTTCCTACTCCAGTCAAGCTCTCCTCCCCCCGCACATCTATCTTCACGCCTGTGCAATTCAGGGTTCCATCCAGAACCACTCATCGTTGAGATAATAAAAACAATGGGTGCTAATTCAGGGGGTGGGGATGGTTTATAATTTTATGGATTTCCCGAAGACCTATAATTGGCACATAAATGTACAAACGTGAACCGGATAATTAGGGGGTTCTGAACGTAAGCCACCTTTAATTTATATGATTACTTGAAAACATGTTAAGTGTTACGAAGTGTCAGCGGAACCCCCACAAGGCCTTTATTCAAAACCATCAACATTGTGAAAGTGCGTCGAATGGGCCAGCAGGAGGGGAACAGGAGGAGGGAGAAGCGACAACGGATCTTCGCTGCGTCCCCAGACTCGCGAGGAGCTGCGTTGTAGCATCCATCTCGGACTCGCTCGCTCGCCCAGCTCCCGGGCAGCAAAAGGCGCGCTGGCTTCCACAAGCCCTCCTCCTCCTAAAGGAGCTAAGCCCAGGCGTGCGCCGGCTCCAAACGCACACTCAGGCACCGACCCACGCGGGCGCGCGCCCCACCCTCTCCGGCACACGCCAGAGCTCATAGACGCCCGCGCCGCGGCGCTCTCCGCTCCGCCCGCCGCCGAGCCGCCCGCGAGAGCCAGACCGCGGTGGCCCGGCGCCCCGGCCTCCCCACCCCCACCCCATTCCTTCAGACTCTCCCAGCCCGGGCGGAAGTGCCCAGGCAGACCCCCAACAATGAGGACTTGTGTGATGCAGTTGGGGGTGGAGGGGAGTTTACAAGGAGTGAAACATGCACAGGCTAGCGGGTTCAGGAGGGAACAACGCAGGAGCCAGGTGGCATCAGGCTTGCCAGGCAGCTTTCCTTCGTGCCCACCCACCCCCCGTCCGGTCCATCAGCACCACCACCAAAACAAAAAATAGCGTTTTAAAAACTGCAGAGAAAAGGCGCGCCCTCCCACCAGGGGTCACAATAACACTCTGTGGGACGGAACTAGCGGGGAAGGAGCGGCCCGGCTGCAGCAACCACAGTCGTTTTGAAATTTACTTTGTACGCTCATCCAATGGCCCCTTTCGACGCCACGACACAACCTTCCCCGTCTCTGACTCCCGGATTCCAGCTCCTCTCGGCGGTTGAGTCCTTCTTTTAGGGCTTCTTGATGAGCCGAATCACGGGGATTTTAAAGTTTCCCCCGTAGGAAAAACACCCTGAGCGTCGAGTCTGGAGCAGCGAGAAGCAGAGGAACGGGCTGGGGAGGGGAGCGTTCAGAGTGGCGGGGAGTCTGCGGAGCGGAGTGGAGGTGCGGGAAGCAGCAGAGAACCGAGTCGATGGAGGACCCGGGGAAGGGCTGGGGTCTGAGAGGCAGGGTCCAGCTCTGATGGGGTCTGAGAAAGGGTAGGGGTTCCTGGGATGGACCCGGTTTTTCGACAGGTCAGGGCAGCACCGCAGCGCTGCCGAGGAGTAGGGAAGTGAAAACCGGGTTCCGCTGAGTAGGGAACAGGGTCCGGCCCGGGAACGCAGCCAGCGAGGCAGGGAGAAAGGGCTCAGGAGCATCGGGTAGGTTTTGGAGCGGAGAAGGAAGGTTCGTGGAAGGATAGAGCCGGGACCGCAGGAGGGAGGAGGGTGCAGGGGGTCCCGAAGAGAGACGAGTGTTCGGGTTGAGCAGGTCTGGAGAGAGGACCGTGCGTGGCCAGAAGTAGGGAGATAGGGGTGGTGGCAGAGACCCAGAAGGAAGGAGCAGAGGTCGTCCCTCTCCCCCAGTAAGTGGAGGGAGCGAGCAAAACTGCAGTCGCCATCCCCGCGGTACCCCTAGCCCAACTCCCGAGAGGGGCGCCCCAGGAGCCGTCCTCCGCGCCCCGGGGCCCCAGCGGAGGCAGCCGGGCGTCCAGGCGCCGGGTCCCCGCCGGGCACCTGCCCGCGCTGAACTCCAGGGCTGCCGCGTGGCCCGCCGCGCCTCACCTCGGCTCGCCGAGAGCATCCTCCTCCGCTGCCGCAGCCGCCCAGGAAGCGGCTCCCCATGCCCGGCGGGCGGCGGCACTCAGGCGCGCTCTCCAGCCCGGGGAAGCCCCGGCGAGCGCCGAGCCGGGTCCATCGTCCCCGGGAGCCACCGGCCCCGCGTCAGAGCAAGGGGAGGAGACCGCCCCACGCGCAGACCCGCCTCCTCCCGCGCCCCCGCCCCGCCGGCCCCCGCGCCCGCCCGGCGCCCCGCGGCGCCGCTCACCTGCCGGCTCCTCGGCCGCCGCCGCCCGGCCGCCCGCCGCGCGCCCCTCGCCCCGGCCCCGCGGCTCCCGCTCGGCTCCCGCCCGGGCGCTCTCTGCGCCGCCCGCCGCGCCCCGAGAGCCTAGCCGAGTCGCGGCGGCGACGAGGAGGAGGCAGAGCGAGCGAGCGAGCGAGCGGGGGCGCCGCGGCTCGCAGTCGCGCCTCTGGAGCCCTTGCGCTCGCTCCCCATGCCTCCGTGGAGGGGGAGAGCCCAGCAGAGAGCATGGGGTCCCCGCCCCAGCCGCGCCGGCGGGGAGGGGTGAGGGAGCGAAGGGGTTAAAGCTACCAGACTCGGGTTTCACAAAGTATCCAGTGTTTGCGCCACCGTCACCGCCACCAGCAGCGGCAGTCCCCGCCCGGCCTCCCTCATTTTTCTCTGGGGTTTACTCTTTGATCCAAGCCTCTAAACATACGCAGACCCAAATATAGAGTGCCACTGGGCGAAAACCAGGGAGGAGGCTCGGCGAGGACGTGTTGCCCCCACGCCCCTTTGCAGGAGGGGGCGCCAGTTCTCAGTGGCCAGCCCTGGTTTGGCAGATCTTGTCTTCACTGACGCTTCCCCGGCAAAGTCGGGCCACGAGGAGGGAGAAAGCTGGCATCTGTCACGTTTTCCTCAGTCCTAGGGAGGGACCCATGCCCCTCAGGGTGTGCAGGCCTCAGTTAAACCCCAACTCTCCCCTTCCTACCCGCCTTCTCCACTTCCGTTCCTAGAATGCCTGGGGGAGGACAGCCCTCAGGTGAGAACAGAGGCGGGAAGGCCTCAGGCAGCGCCCAGGCAGTTGCTCCCTGCTCCTGGTCTTGGTTTACAAAGATCCAGCAAATCGCCGGAAATATGCATTGTGTGGGTCTGAAAATTCTTCTACCCTGAGACTGGATTCAACTTAAGTAAATGCCTGTACAGTCGTCTCCAGAGGCCAAAATGCCAGGTGTCGGAGGGAGAAAAGCAAATGAAGTGCTGGCCCTTTGGAGCAGGGTGCAGGAAAGGGAAGGAAGAGGCAGGCCGCAGTTAAAGTGTTAGCTTTTTTAGGGGCCACACTCCTGTCCTCCAGCTGTGTAATAATAAAGCTAATGTGGAGGATTTGGGTTTTGTTTTTTTCCCTCATAGCTTCTGTCACTCACCCATGAAAATTTAATGAAGCATTTAGGGTTATTACCTCCAGAGTCAATGGGCTAAAAATATTTAGCCTAATGCACTCCTTGTGGAGCCAATAGGTCCGTGGCTGGTACACACAAAGTCATCGAGAGACCCTCCCTTTCTCCACAAAATTCACGACCCATTACACTTATTCCGTAATAACAGCTTCTGTACAAATGGAGGCCTGAGCAACTGGAGGCTGTCGTGCACCTCCTGAAAGATAGCAATTTACATAGAGACAAGAAAAATTTGTGAGGTCATTGGCAGGGTACAATCTTGGTGAAGAGTTGATCAGAGGCAACTCCCATCAAGGTGGGAGGGAGATGCCACCCCTGATACCACTGTTTCTGTTTCCTTCTGGATGTGACCAGCAGCTCTAATGATGGGGACCAGGGACACTGGCCCAAGTTTCCCCAACTCTTCCAAAGTTCTAGAGAGTGGCAAGAGTTGCCAGCCAACACTAAAGATTCATTTCATTGGAAGTTCAGGCTCGCCAGGCAGCTCTACTAAGATTAATAAGACACTTCTGTTTCCTCTTCTATAAAGACAAACCTCAGGAACCTGAACTCAATACAAAGAAAACAGGAGACATGGACAAATCGGAGAAGACCTGGTTGGAATAGGAGGAAAGAATATAGAAACCTGTTATGCACCTCGGGTGGCTGGGACAGATGTCAAACCTGATGGAACGCAGGTCTAACTCTGCATTGACTCTACCAAAAACAGCTCTGAAGTTTCTCAGGGTTTTGAGGACAGCCATGGAACATCATGACCACTGACGGACATTCTAAGGCACTGTACATGAGAGACGTTGCCTTCGCCCCTTCCCTCTTGTTCTGTTTTCAGTTGACATTGTGATTACAGACTTTGAGGGGAATGCGGGACACTGAGTTGGCCGAGTGATAGAAATGGAAGACGCTCATATAAGACTCGATCTCTATTCGGTGTTGGACATGCGCCATCATGGAAACTGGGCAAATTCCCATTAAATCTGACAGGGGCAACGAGCTGCAGCTGTTCCCAACTCCAGGCTGGAAGAAAGCGTAATATATAGATTCTAACTGCACACAAGCTGCCCAAGGACCTAATAGTCTTCTGGGTTAAAGCAAACCAAATTTTAAAGGGCTATTTTAAGTTATTATGCTAAACATGTCAAGAAACAACTCATCTAAAATTTAGGGTGCTTTTTCTTTTCTTCTCTTTTAAATAACAATGCCGTTTGTGTTAAGTGTGGCATAAGGAAAAAGATCAACATGCATTTCTTTATCATCTACTACTAGAAACAACAATGTATCAAGAAGAACAACAAAGATGTATATATTAGTCATTATTTTCCAGGCACCCTTCTGGTACTTTCCATACATTAACTCATTTAGCCTTCACGGTAGCCCAGGGGGAGAGGTACTCTTATCCGTGTGTACTGGAAAGAATCTGGACTGTAGTCTAATGGGCCTGAGTCGTCTGTGACAAGTTAACTCTCTGAACTTCAAAATTCTCAGTTCTACAATGGTGACACATGCTTCATGAGACACCTGCTTCAAGAGATCGCTGTGGGCCTTAGATGAGATACTGTAGCAGATGTGGCTGGACTGAAAAGTCACAGCAAACATGGGTTCTCCTTCCAGAGAAATTCCAAAATAGTTCATTTTACATCAACAACATTTATGGAGATCATTCTATATGTCAGGCACTGTGCTAGGCATTGGGTATAATGATGACAAATCAGAAACAGACCCTGCCTTTGAGGAGCTCAGAGTCAATTGAATGTTTTTACATGGACATGAGTAGCACGCAGATGGGTAAAAAGGAGTTTTATTGAACTTCATATAATTCATCCCTATGCACATGGTTCTCAAGATACTCAGAGGGCCAGCCTATTTAAGTGCTGTTTGAGACCGACCCAGGATTGAAAGCAAAACCACGGGTCAGAAATCATAAATCCAACCAGCAATAACTACTCCTCCAAAGGAAGGAATGCAAAGTAGCTCATTTTGTGTATTCTGTATTATTTAAAATTCTGTTCATCCCTACAGTTGTTTCAAATATACCTCTCAGGATAAAATGAATTTGTGCTGTAAGCTCTAAGGGTTTCAAGCACAAATTATTACATAGCCACTGTTTATTAAATAGTCTGTGGGGCTTGCATATGCCAGGAATGTACACACAAAGCTCTCAAATTAATAAAATCTTAAATACTGTCCAGTAGGACCATTTCTACCAAGCTTATTAGAGACACTGTGCGTTCAAAGTATACCAACATATAGAAGACACAAAATTTCAAAGGTTAATACCGAAGGTACGTAAGCCTCTCATGGTCCTTATCATTCAAGTTCATGTTCACACTCAGATTCTATTTATTTATTCAAAAATTGTTTACTGACTGCTCACTGTATACCAGGCACAATGCTAGCAGGCATTGGCAAGGAAGAAAAGAAAAAGCAAAAAAACTCACTCTCAAACAACTCGTACCCACGTTGAGGAAACTCATCAGCACACACACTGCAGGGAGGCTGCAGGGCAGCAGACAGGGGTGTGAGACCAGGGCAGGATTTTAAGGCTTCTTGAAGGAAGTGATAGCATCTTTTTTTTTTTTTTTTTTGAGGAAGATTAGCCCTGAGCTGACTACTGCCAATCCTCCTCTTTTTGCTCAAGAAGACTGGCCCTCAGCTAACATTCATGCCCATCTTCCTCTACTTTATATGTGGGACACCTATCACAGCATGGCTTTTGCCAAGTGGTACCATGTCCACACCCAGGATCCAAATCAGTGAACCCCGGGCCACTGAGAATCGGAACGTGCGAACTTAACCACTGCGCCCGGCCCCATCTTGGAAGATAACTGAGCAACCAGATGAAGCAAGGAGTGAAAAGAGAACGTGCAAGGGCATAAAAGAGACTCTGCTCTGGGGGTGGCGGTGGTTGACTGTAGAGAAACAACATAAACAAATTGGAAAGGGTCTCATATGCCATGTTCAGGACTTTGGAATTCAGTGTGAAAGCAAAGGGGTCCATTAAAAAAAAAAAGTTGCAAACCTTACATTAACCACATTTCAGATCCTTTTCTTGTATGTCCTAGACACGAGTGAAATATCCAATTGCTATTTCTCTTCTGAGGTCCAAAAGCAATGAGAAAAAATTTCTATGTGGCTTCATCAAAACAGGAGAGATCCCTTCTTTCTTGAGAAGGGCTTTGCTTGATTCCAGGGAAAGGCTGCTGGCGGTGTTACTAAACTTGACTCTAGTTTACAGTAGCTATAAATAGCACTCCTTTTATTTTTTCCAAGGAGGGGGTGGAGGGAAATAGCAACACTGCAATTGTATTTATGTCACCAATCTGCTCTCTTTAGCTAAATGCACAGTAGAAACAAAGTGGAGAGCTGAAGTGATTGCCAAAGGGCTCTTAAGTTCCAATACAAACTCCCAATTTTTTCACTCATAAAGTGGAGCTTAAGGTGACAGTAGTACTTGGAAATAGGAGTAGACTAAAAGCTATCAGAACGTGATGGAGTTCCTGACGCCTGGGGGGTACGAGAAGCAGAGAAGAACCAGCAGCCCCTGCAGTGTAGCCGCCATGTATTTCATGGTGACTATGTTAAAGTTATGACGGCTATTTGTCGTCTGCCTCTCTGGTGCCATTCCTCCATTCCTCCTTCCTCTGTGAACAACACCCGGATTTCATTGGGGAACCATTCCCCCAGCCAAAGATATATTTTCCATTTTGTTCTT